ATTTTTTTCCTTTTTTTCTTTTTTTTTTTGGTGTGTATAAATTTTAGTCCCCAAATAGTGTGGTAGGTATTCAATCAAAAACAAAAAGGTGGGGTAGGCAAATTGTAGTATTTTAGTGGTTACCTATAAAAGAGATTTGTTTATTTGTGCTCACAAACGTTGCTATAAGTTCATGGTCACATTCATTGATCCTCATCAAGTTTAGGATTTGTTCCATTTGGATTAGAAGTAGACATCTTTGTCCAAAATTGATGATGACCTGCAAAGGTGAAGAGCAGGCCAACATTGACAAGGTGAGAGAGTTCCTCAAAAACAAAAATGACACAATGAGATTTCATCTTACTTGGGTTTAGTTGGAATATATGGTTGTTCAGTGTTTTTGAGTCAAAAAGCATCTCTTCTTCTATGTGCAACAGTGCAAGTAAGGCCAGAAAATAAAGTCTCTCAGCCGTCCAATAACAGCGTCCCCAACACAAGTTTCCTTTTTCTTTTTTAGATTCTGGCTTTTCTCCTTTTTAGCATAAAAGTTACAGAGAGATAATGAGACTAGCAGCAAAAATGCTTATGATTTTGGTTTCGTGCTTCATAAAGTGGGGTGTGTTGCTTGAAGCCTTGAACCATTTTATATGGTGTAATATGGAAAATCAGAAAAAACATGCGTTGTTGTTATGCCCTTTAGGATTCGAACTTAAAACCATTGGTATTCAAGTTTTTCTTTTTCATTAAGCAAAATCTCGCTGGCAGAATTTTGAACTTTATAGATTGAGTAGATCTTTCAAATCTATTATGATGAAATGAAAGATACGGTGGGTTGGCCTGGATATGTAATATACTGGAGCCATTTATAATAGTGTACCTAACTGAATCCAGATTTGACAGCAAAATTCACTCACTAAATGCCTATTCAATGCAAACCATTTGGTGGTTGCAAGTTGCAACTTTGTCGCTTGTCGGTTTCACCTAAATTTCCAAATTATGAAGAGAAGAGAGCCATCTTTATGGCTTGAGGTATAAAAAAAGGCAAGTATAAATCTTAGATACTTTTTTATTTTTCCAAAGTTTAGAGGTTGGAGGAAGTATCATTGGGGTTTAAATTTGAGACCACTGATCTAAAGATAAATGCTCTTACCACTAAATTATGGACCCGTTGGAATACATCTCGAACCTTTTTTTAATTATTTTGTTAGATGCATTTACCAATATAATAATGTCCATTAGGTTGGGATTTTTTTTCCTTCTGGTATGAGAAGAATTTGCCCTACATGAACAACAATTGGGGCTATCTTTTTCTAACTAAAAGAATTTGGGTTTAATAAATAGTGGGTTTGTTGTACATGTATGGGCCCAAAAGTAGAATTGGGTCTTATAAAATATGGGCTAACCCAATGACAAAATAGCAAGCAGTTTGGTGTCACTGCGACACTAACGCATTGGCCAGCGTTAGGGTTTTAAGAGGTTCTCTTTCTTTCTTTATAAGGAGAGCTCAGAATTTGGTTTGTATTTTCATCGTAGCAGAGGGGACGTGTGGTCTTGACGGAGAACAACCATGGTTCACGTCTCCTTCTACCGCAACTGTAAGCGCTCTCTCTAACTCTCTATATTTGATATTTGATCTCATATATTCATATATTGTATATTCTCTGATACTTAATATTTTCTGTGATCCTTGAGAAAGTTGTGTTATTCCGAACAATGAGTGTTTTGGGTCTGAAGTTTTACATTTGAAAGTTAGTGAATTGATATTGTTCGGTGGCAAAGTTTTGATTTTGATTATCAGCTTTTTGATTGTTGGCCTTAGTTTTGCTGTTGTTCTTTTGGCGCCGAAAATTTTGGATTTACTTATATACATGAGACGTTGGCTTAATTGTTGCTCCTCATACACAAGAAAGAAAAGTTAAAATTCAATGTTAGATTGGGAATGTTTTGGGATTTGGAGAAAATTGAAATTTCAAAAAGCTTAGTTGGGTACATTTTACTTTTTAGGTGGTTGATGTTAAATTCTCATTTTGTAATGATCAATTGTTTTACAATTCAGATGGAAAGACGTTCAAGAAGCCGCGTCGCCCCTATGAGAAGGAGCGTTTGGATGCTGAGCTGAAGCTCGTTGGAGAGTATGGTCTCCGGTGCAAGAGAGAGCTGTGGAGGGTTCAGTATGCTCTGAGCCGTATCAGCGTTTGGATGCTGAGCTGAAGCTTGTTGGAGAGTATGGGCTCCGGTGCAAGAGAGAGCTGTGGAGGGTTCAGTATGCTCTGAGCCTTATCAAGAACAATGCAAGGATGCTTCTGACCCTGGATGAGAAGAACCCTCGTCGTATCTTCGAGGGTGAGGCTCTCCTCCAGAGGATGAACCGGTACGGGCTCTTGGAAGAGGGTCAGAACAAGCTTGATTATGTTTTGGCTTTGACTGTGGAGAACTTCCTTGAACGTCGCCTGCAGACAATTGTGTTCAGGACTGGTATGGCAAAGTCCATCCATCATGCCCGTGTGCTTATCAGGCAGAGGCATATCAGGTAAATTTATTTGTTCCTTTGCCTGCAATGTAGATCAACGAAGTCTGCTATACAGTTTTAGTTCTAGTCTATTAATGCCGATTTGATTACATGGTCAATCTCAAATGAATGCTTGCTTTCCATCTAAAGCTAGAAACAAATGAAAGTACTAGTTATACATCAAATAAATGTTTCTTGGTTATATGCTTGTGTTACTGTTTTGCTCATTATTTGGGTGGAGGAGAGATTTAGAGCTAATTTGTTATAAAGTTGAATAAAGCAGTCTTAGAGTTAGAGCTCATCTATTTTACCACCCTATATCCAACAAGTTTTCAGTATAAAGCCTTTGTGATGCTTCAAAACATGATGAACATTCATCTTCACTATGCTTTGTTCTTTTATTGCGTACAGAGTTGGGAGGCAAGTGGTGAACATCTCTTCCTTCCTGGTGAGATGTGATTCAGAGAAGCACATTGATTTCTCACTCACAAGCCCATTAGGGGCCGGACGTCCCGGCAGAGTGAAGAGAAGAAACATGAAGGCTGCTGCCAAGAAGGCTGCTGGTGGAGATGCAGATGAAGAGGATGAAGATTGAACAAAGAGTTTTGACCATTAGTTTCTCCTAGTCCTGCTAGGCTTTACTTCTCAGTTACCATATCCCATATTTGCTTGCAAATAATTTTTGTTTCCGAACTTCATTTCTGCTTCACTCGAGTGAACAATTTTGCATTTGATTAGTTTGAAATGATTCAATTTTTCTATAAAATATAATCTATTTTGCATCTCTGTTGGCTTGGGTTCGACAGAGGGTTATACCACTGACTTGGTCCAAAACCTCACATTGCATAGGTCATGTCATATTATATGCTTAATTAAATGATTATATATTTTATCATTTGCTTCAATTTGAAGTCATCAACCCATAAAATCCTTCTTCTTCAAACTTCACCCAACTCTCCCAAAAACAGAGTGCAGCCATGGAATCTATCAACATCTTCAAAGGCTATGGCAAAGTAATCCCAGACCAACTTGAAGATCAAACTCAAACCTCAAACCCAAAATCCCCCAAACCCCAAAAGCCCATCTTTTCCACTCTCACCATCTCAGCCCTCATCTGCTTGACCTTGGTGATCGGCCTCCTGCTCGCGGCTCTCATCCACGAGTCCAACTCCGAGTCCCCGTCTCTCTCCAACTCCAACTCGGCCGAGTCAGCCATCAAAACCATCTGCAACGTGACTCGGTACCCCAACTCGTGCTTCACCTCCATATCCTCCCTCAACGCCTCTCCAAAGCCCGACCCAGATGCCATTTTCAAGCTTTCTCTCGAAATTTCCATTGCCGAGCTCTCAAACGTCTCGTCGCTGTTGAAGACGATGAACTCCGATCCCGCGACTCGGGACTGCGTGGGTCAGCTCGAGGACGCGCTGAGTCGGCTCAACGACTCGGTTTCGGCGATGGGAGAGAAGGCGTTGTCCCAGGCTAAAGTCAACGACATACAAACGTGGATAAGCAGCGCTGTGACAGATCAAGAGACGTGCTTGGATGGGTTGGAAGAGATGGGATCAACGGCTGTGGATAAAGTGAAGAGCAAGATGAAGAGGTCCATGGAGTACACCAGCAACAGCTTAGCCATTGTGGCTAATTTCAAGGCCATTCTTGACAAATTCCACATACCCCTCCACTAATTATTATTAGATTAATTGAATAAAAGAAAAGAAAAAAATATGCTTTGGGCTTTTTTTCGTTGGGGTTTGACTGTTTTTATGTATAATTTTTGTTCTTGAATTATAAATGGTGTTTGTTTGTTGTTGATGATTTGTGTCCTTCATTGAAAGTTGAAGATTTATGAACAAAATTTAAATAGCCACATCCATCTTCACTTTAAAATAATCTAAATTAGAGAAAGGGGGATTCGAACTCGATGCAGGGAGGGAAGCACATCCGCTTTAGCCAACTTGACTTAGTCCATGTCTGCCACATCCATCTCATCTTGTGATTGGAATTTATTCAATTTATCTACATTAAGATAAGCATTCAATTTATCTTCATTGATTGCTCCTTGTGCATGAGGAGTGAGGCATTTTAAATTTATTTGGATTTTTATACAAATATCTTATTCTTTCTTTTCTTTTTAATCAAGTTGATTTCTCTCCCTCTTATCTTCTGTTTTAACCTTTTGTGCCAAATTCTAGGGCTCACAAATAGTAGTAGCTAGCAAGTGTCTTTTACTCCCCAAAATGAAACAGGTTCCAAATGAAGCTAATATAATATAGCAATAGCACACAGTATTTTAGCAGACAAACAACCCTGTTGGTTGCTTTCATTTTTCTTCTTCTTGTCTTGGTTTCTATCCTAATCATTGAATGATTGTGTACAAGTAAATCTAAGAAAATCCTTCTCGTCAGTATTGTGCTGCAAATTCCATGTGATTAATGTGGGACCAAATAATTTTTATATATTTAGTTGAAGCAAGATCAAATGATCACTAGCTAGCATTTTAACAATACAGAGAGATGGGAATAGGGTACACTTCAGAAATTTAAAAAAAAAAACATAAATAAAATATATATATCATATTCCTCTGATAAATTAATCAATATCTCTCACTGGTTGGAAAGTCCAACCAAATTAAGACATTTGATTAAAATAGGCAGCCCACAGAGACACACAGAGAGAGAGAGAGAGAGAGAGGCATTATTAATGTTGGAAAAGTCTTCTAATAAGCTGTTCATCAACCTCAGTGATGTCTGCAGAATCCAGGAGTTGAGATAATCTTTGGCTCAGATCGTCCACCTCTTTATTCAGCCTCCTTATGTAACTGCAAGTTTCTTCCAAAATGCCTGATGCTGATACCTGCATATATATAAGCACCACATTATGATATATATAATTGCTTAATTATAAGCATTAATCAGACAAACATACTTCCGCATAAATAAATAAAAAGAGTAATAATTCTGTTTAAACACAAAATCCATGCATGATTAGTTGAACGAATTCTTGCTGATTGAGGTTTCTACTTCTTATTACTACTACCTAGTATATATATAAGCTTGTTATGAAGATATTTTGAGGCTACTAGCTTCTTTATATATATATATATATATATAGCTCTTGCAGCTTTGAATGACAAAGTTTAATCATCTATATATCAAGCATGAAACTCTGTAGATTATATATGCATCTGGTTTCAACTTTCATTTCACATCAAGCTCTCTTTCCCATGTGTCCTCTAACCATCCATCATGCCATCACCTTCATCATTATGTTAGTGACATGAACTAATATGAGAATTGATAGAGGAGCACAAATTTTATATATATGAAAATTGAAAAACAAAACTAGAATTGTAATGCATAAGCCTAAGCCTAAGCCTATACGCTATACCGATGCGTTGCGCCTATGATCAAGCTGGGGTAGCAGAGGTTTTAATTTTAAGACGAGCTCCTTAATCTCATCATCTGCGAGTTTAGAAGCTCTTGAGGATGATCTTCTGCTTGACATGGCTGATATGAAGGTGAGAGGAAAGAAAACACTTTGCTTATTTTCCTTCTCGCTATGAAATGTCTAGGGGAGGGGGGGAAGTTCAAGTACGAGGCCAACCCTGCTTAAAAAGAGAGTGGAAATTGAGGCTGAAGACACAAATCTTTTTAGTTAGAAAAAGACACCAACGATATTGATATGCTGTTTGGGGTCCCATTTGAACAACATTTTGGCACTACAAGGGCCCTCTTCTTGCAAAATCATTGAAACAGCCAAACACCTTTATCTGGTTCAAATTAGGGCATCACATGTACCCCCATTTGGACACGTGGCCTACTTTAGGTTGCTAATCAGTGTTTATTCTAGATGTTACATGCTACCAAAAAGATACTTTGTCCTTGTTTGATTAAGGACGATGGGGTTTCTTTGTTTGATGCATTGCCTTCTATCTTTAATTCTTTTTTGGTTTTGTTTGGTCTTTTTTTGGAGTCTGTCTTCCTCTCTGTCTACTAAAAACCTCTGTTTAATTTGGTTCATGTTTGAGTCTTCGTCTTTTTAAGTACAAGCGATAGTCTAAAATATAGGGGATGAGGGTTTCTCTCTCACACACATACTATTATGATGCCATGGAATTCAAACATGAGCCCACTAATTTGCAAGTCAATGTCTTTTTTCATTGGGTTAGACCCCGTTGATCATGTTTGAGTCTTTAATGTGAACAAATTTGTAAAAAAGAATTGTGGGAGACAAATCAGAAAAATATTTTAATGAGCGAGTTGGTTAAACATCACAATTTTGTGATGCTCTCCATGCTTTTATTTCAAGAAAAACAAAAAAAATGGAAAAATAAATAAGGTCGTGACATGATCTTGTCCTAACCACATATTGGACAAAAACATTATGTCGAGTCTTATATTAGTTGGGAGACCGATAACTTTAACTCACAAAGTAGAGTGTTAGCCCCCACTCTTGCTAGAAAATAACTAATAAGAAAGCAAAGTTTGGTGGACATTACATAATTAATGTAAGAGAAGCACCTAGATATATAAACTCCCTGATGAACGTGAGTCTTATAGCTTCAGTGACAGAACATTTTACTTACACATTTAAGTAAGAATTCGAATACTTAGCTCCTCTTTTTTGAATAAAAAAGAAGATATAAGATTAGATTGCAGTATTTTAATTAAATTATACATAATTGAAGATTCAAATTAATAATAATGTCATGTAGAAACATGAATCAACACTTATCCTAATAGCTGAATTATTGTCATTAAATGCCATAGACTTATCAAACACAAACAAAATATTGTAGCAATGTAGTTCAATAGTCTCAAATAAACCTATATGATTCACTTTGATTTCTTTATTTTATAATTGAAATGAGAGCTATGTGTCTTTTAACTTAGGAACAATCACATCAACTCGATCTGATGTCCAATCGCAATCTTGCCCATTTTACGTTTGAAAAATGTCAATAAACAGAGCTCAATACTCATACGCTTAATAATGCAGGAACATATACTATTAACCATTTGAGTTACAACCTTACAATATTTCAAGTTGTCCTCGAGACAGCCTTACTTCTAACATTATGCACAAACCAAACCAATGATTTCAAAGCAGTAATAGTTACAGTTTGAAGGGTGACTTGCTGCAGGAATTGGATTATATTTGGAAGGAGGTTTGATGTCTTTTTTTAGGTCGGTGTGGAAATTGAGCAAAATGTGAAGTGAAGTGAGAAAAGAAGAAGATGGTTGATGTGACAATGCATGCACAAGTGGGTGAATGACTGAACTAAACAGACATGCGTATGAAGGCGCCACCTGAGGTGGTGAGGAGTTTGCTTGGACAAAGCCAATAAATGGCTCTTTGGCCTTATTTACCAACCCCCTCTCCCTCAATTTGGCCCCTAAATTTCCGGTACCCCAACTCAGGACACTGTCCCAGAATCACATCCGCTGCACCTGCCACGTGGCACCTTGTGATGTGAACATGTTCTTAATAAAGTCACTGAGTCACTGAGTCACTGAGTCATGAGTCTCTCTCTGGACCCCTCTTCTTGAAGGTTTTGTTGCCTTTATCCTATGCATTGTACATGCCAGGGCCAACATGCATCGATTAGTTAATTTGTAGCCTGCAGAAGATACAATGCAATCGAATGTCCTTCAAGCTAGGGCAGTAAAACCCACTATTGGACTAGGTAATTGATGAAAATCATGAGCTAACTAAATTCCTATTCTTACTCGTTAAGTTAGTCTTATTTTAATCGATAACATGTTATTATGTTTTGTTGAGGACAATGATATATAGTGACACATTTTCGATGGCATATATATATCGACAACCATTTCGTAGGTGGACGATTGTAGATATACCCTTTTAATAATTTCTTAGTACATTTACTAATTAACAATCCTGTCTATTACAGCCTGAAATTTCATCTTCAAAGCTTGAGAACACTTCAGATTCACCCTCTATAATCATCAAGTTAACCCGCCTCCTATGACAGATCGTTTTCTTGTCTGACCTATTTATACGCATATGACTATGCCCCAATAATCCCAGCAATATAAATGCTCAAAAACTGTGGTCCATGCACTGCACTGTACTGTATGCTACATGGTCTTCTACAGCTCAGGCAAAAGTACTTTTGGAGACCTACCACTAGTCTACTAGGGGTCATTAGCTTCTGTGTAAAGCTTGAGATTCCAGAAAGAGTTGCATATGCAAAAACACACATGCATGCCACCATGCCAGAAAAAAAAAACGTACATCTTGTATGTTTTTGTAAAGATTTGGTGTAAATGGCATGGCCACAGACTTTATATCTTTGCTAGATTCTATTTTTGGTTTTTATTCATATGATCTCAGAAACTTGAGAGCTGTTTAAAACGTGCAAATGAGCCTGCAGGATTCAATTGATAGCATTGTTAGTGGAAGTGGTTAAAGATTGATTCAATTTGGTATAGTTTAGATTTACTCAAATAATTAATGTGCTACTACTTTGTACTGGTATACTTATCTAATCTAAACAAGAAGTGTCTCTTTCTAAGTAACACAACTTGAACTTGATGATAAAGTCAGCATGTGCCCAAATTTTTTCATACGAAATGAGTGGTTGGTAAGGAATTACCAATCTATTTTGTCCAAGTTCATGATTGTTGACAAAATATCAAGAGTGTACGTACCGATACTGTAGATTGGTAGCCGTAGGTAGCCAGATAGTAGCCTAGTAGCTAGGTTCTAGCTTAGCCCCCCGGTGTAGGGAACAGCAGAAGGTACGTTCATTGCCTTCACTAAATGCCTATATTTTTCTGTGTCTGGGAAATGCCAACAGCCTTCACCTTGCAACCCATATGCTTGCTACACTATGTTATGTCAAGTTACCTTCAACTCCATCTTTGTCGTTGAGTGGGAGTTAAATTTCCAATTTTGAATCCATGCAGGGAAAAAGAAAAAGATAAAGGATGACATAACAAGAGGTCATCAAGAAAGATGATCAAGATATCCTCCCACTAAAACCCCCAAAAAGAAGCAAAAAATACACATCACTCTTCACAACATGATTGCAATGAAATTGCATGAGAATGGCATTACAATTCACTCTCTAATTATCTGTGAAGCCATTTTGAAAAGAGTTCAACTTGAAAGCTTCACCATGTTAAGACTGAGAGAAAATAAAATAATCCCCTCGCCATCTCTCACATTCAAACTGAGTTCTCTAACTCGTATAAAAAGTAAATTTTGTTTGATGGCCTCAACCCACCAGATTCAAGCATGCCATAAACAACTATCATCATTCCAACATTACACAGATGTTAAGAGGATCCATTTGAATTAACAATAATCAAAGGGAACAATTTTCTCAAGCTGCAACTACAATGAACTGAACTATCTTCCCACAGTAAAAAAAAAGGCAAACATTTTCCCTTTATTGTGTGTTTTTTTTATAAATTTTAAAAAAAAATTAAATGGGTCAATCCAAGGGATCCTAAATCATGTACAACACAACACTTGGGAGCCCTCAACTGGTAAAGACTCTACTCTTCACAATCTTTTCTACGTCTGGTACATTCAAATGTCTAATCCCATTCTCCTTCATCCATTTCTCACCCCCTGCCAAACTGTTTTGAAGTTTCTCTTCTTCCATCTTCAACAACTTTAAGCCCTCACTTACTCTGGGGAAAAAGCCCTCAGGTCTCAAACACCAAGCTCCAAATGCCCCAAATAAAACCTCCAAATCACTGCCAAACCTCTCAACTCCGCCATCATAAAACTTCACATTGCTCATTAGAATACCATTGAAAAATGAGCGATCTATCCCAGCTGCCAAACTTCTCCACACCCCAACAAAGTCTATCCCGTTCAAACCATTTTCTACGACTGACATTTTACCCTGCAAATAATCTAGAGCACCAACTAAAAATTTGGACACTGTCCAACCGTCCTCACTCTTTTCCCGCCACTGCCTCCTGTTCTTCATATAATCTCGACATTGAGCATCAAATCCCCTCAATATAACAACAGACAATTTTTCAGCCCATTCTATTCTAAACTCCTCCAACTTTACAATCTCCTCATAGAAAATACCACTTTCAAGACCTTCCACTGGTTCTACATTACCATTTTGATCACCAACTGATATTCCCAGCTGATCACTTTGACCTGACCATATCTCAAGGAAAAAGACGTCCTCACACCATTCCTTTAAAACGGATTCGAAGTAGTGAGCAGCATTAATGGAGTTTGCAACTTTAACTAGGGCATCATCATCCGTCAAGGCAGTCAAACCTTCAGCTTCTTGGCACCTGATGAGTAAGCAGTCCAAGAATTTTTGTATAATAGGTACCGCAGCTAACCTGAGAAACCTGGACCTCATAGAGATGCTAGGCAATGATCGACAACGATCAACCACAGATGATAGACAACGAAGATAGGCACTGCAAACTGCAGGAGCTTTGTAATCTTCAGTAGCAGAAAAAAGAACTGCTCCTTGGACTTTCATGGTCCAATTTCTCTCATCACTAGTGTCAGGTTTCAACTTTTCTAGTATATCACTTAATTCTATCTCTGCCCATAAATCAAGCCAATCTGGTCGATCACAGAAAACAGATAGAGAAGAAACCTTTGAGAAGTTCCCATCATCCTGAAGCGAAAGCAAGATTCCAGAATGTTCTATCAGAGACTTGATTTGTTTATCAAACGATATCATCAAGTCAACAAGATGAAGCCAGGATATTCTAGCCTGTGACTGAGTACCCGTTACGCTATCTTCATCCGGTTGTCCAGCATATTTTGGGAATATCTCTTTTGCCAAGTATGTTGATAAGGAAGATACCATTGCTGAAATCCATTCTTCTCTGCAACTGTACCCTGTTAACATTGCTTCATCAACCAGAGGTTGCAATAACTCATCCATAGAGTCAACATAATCCCTGGTGATCTTGTAGACAAGAGCAAATATAAATTCTGGCTTATCAACCCATTTTGTGAAATGGCGTTGGGATGCCAATGATATAGGATTCACAAGCTCTTCAATCACCCAAAGTGGCTGGTGCAGAGCAAGTTCCCGACTATAGCCCTCTAGTTGACGTGATTTTCTTCGTCTCTGCAACTCCTGTAAGCTGCACAAGGCAAAAAAGTTTTCGCAGTACTGGTCTTTGAGGTCTCCTTGCATTGTGAAAAGAGGATTCAGAACTTCAGTTGATCTCCCTGTATCTGGAGTTGAGGAAGTCAAAATGGCAAGAGGCGGTGGCCATCCAAGGGAAGTAAGGAGGGCCCGGTGATCTGCTATAGCATGGGGTCTTAAAATGGCCAGAGCTCGATCTACCCTGTGATCAACTGCTGACACAAGATGTGCCCATTGAGGGTGTGTCTTTGTAACTGAAGTTAAAATATCTTCTATCAGTTTAAGTGTTTTAATAGCAACCAGACGCATTTCCTGCAGAGGAAAAGAAAAAGGCGAATTAGGCATAAGAAATATTGATTTCAGGAACTGTAATCCCTACATTATTTTGTTTTCACAAACAACAGGACTGGTGCTCACTTCTGAATTCTGTTTCGACAAATGCTTCCATGAGTTTTTCTTCATGGTAGACGATACTGCATCTTCAATATCACCAATCATAGTTTGAAGCTTCAATGCTGTCTCTGAAAGATGAAAATAAAAGACCCAGAAAGAGACAGTTTGATTTCAAAATAACAGATAGTAGTATGCTTTGCAGCAGCTAATAACTGTAACAAAGAAAAATGTAGCACAGGCGTATAAAACAGGGAAGAAAGAGGCCAAGCGAGTGCACCCAAATACACAGTATGAAAATTGCAGTAACTCAGAAGTAAAAGGACAACTTCACATCAACAAAAAATCTCTCAAAAATGTGAAAAGTAAATCTGCCTGGATGATTTAAAAAATTCAAAATAGTTAATTTAAGCATTATTAACAAAGCCTTAATATTTCAACTAGTTAAGAAGATAAGATTGTACTGGTTGGAGCTTAATCGCATGCTGTCCATATTTCAACTAAAAATTATTTGATTGGGAACCATGAAGAACTGGGATTCTCCCATCTTGTAGTGTCGGAAAAAAACATTTTCATCTTCATGGTTCAACATTAGCCATCTCTTACTGCCTAAACCGCATTTAGAACAGTGGAGGCATTCACGATACATACAACTGCATTAACACAAGAATACAGAGCAAAATGGACAACTTATCAAGAATTCAAGATCAGTAATTTTCAAGATAGAGGACAAATTGGTTGGGCTAAGTAGATTGAATTTCTTATTCATCTCATTCTCTACTTGCACAAATAATTGAAGCATCAATGTAGTATTTCATAGTCGATGTTACTATTATCCAGGGAATGAGGAACAATCCTTCAATTATTCTTTTGTGGTGTCTTTCCAAACAAAATGAGCTAATCGTAAAACAAGGACAATCCAAAAAATTATAGCTTTCAGCTAAAACTAGTTCCTTGAATTTATTCATTCACTTTTATTATTGGCCAAGAAACGCACCTGCGTATGTTCGAACCGACTCAACCCTCGCCACTTCCTTCGCCAATGCCGGCAGCTCCTCCCCCAAAATCTGCTCGGCTCTCTCCTTTCCTTCTCCATCTACAAACAAAAAGTTCCAAAATTTAACAGAGAGAAACGAAATTTAACCCAAAATCGAAAATCTAAATGAGAATTGCACACTTCTCAATAGCAGCACACAGAAAACCTGAACTGCGAGACCGAGTGGAGGATCCGAGACCCGTCAATTGGGCATTGATGTCGCCTAAGACGCCGTGGACCCGATCGGAGAACGAAGCGTAAGCTAGATGTGAGGACCCGAGGCTCCGGTTGAGGTCGATTAGGGTTCGATCCAAGTCGCCGCACTGGGTTTGGAGCTCCGACAGGAGAGTCGGAGCCCCGTTCAAATTGTCATTGGTCCGGAACTTTTCGTTGAGGAAGGAGACGATCGAGGGCGAGAGGTCGGAGGCTGGAGGTAGCGCGGATTCCATGGTTTCAAGCCATTTCGGTTCGGTGGTGCGAGTGGGAAATTTGAATGGGGTGCGAGGGTATTTTAGGGTTTTTAACGGGAATTTCTGCGACTAAAAGCTGTGCTGCCTAATGTGCTTTGCTTTCGTTGAGAGGCAGAGACTGAAATTTGACTCCCACCAAATACCGTTATTGATTGCGCGGGTCCACCCGTGGACTTAATTATTCTTGAGCTTGGTCTGGGCTTAGGCTTTAAAAGAACATTGTGAATGAGCTTCAAATGGGCCCATTACAAGTACATTATCTTTGTTCTCACGAACATTGGACTATTGAAATGGACCCAATACCTCAATCCAGTCCAAAAGATACTTTTCAAAGAACTTCTTAAGAGTTGTTATTATCTGCACTCCTCGTATATATTTGGAGGCATGGACAGAGTCGTTTTATGGTGATAGTGCCATATATGGATGATAGACATAGACTTTCATATTAGTCACATGATTCATCTGAATAGTAACTTCACTTAAGTTTAATGAAATGATCTTGTGGCTAATATGAAGATTCATATGAGGGGTCCGACAGAGATGAATCATATAGGTATGATTAACCAGGTCTATACAGCCCACTCGAGTCTACCCATAGCACTACTTCACGCGTAAACCCTTCGGTAACCAACATCAATTCCATTTTTTTAACCTAGGATCTTTCATTTTAAGTTGGTATCTTTTGTCATTTTGTGTTTCTAAAGTGATAGCACTGAATATTACTAATTGATTGCATTAAAAACGTTTGGGCCTTGAGGTGGTCCAAAAGCGTGCCATTGGGGTGCAAGGAAGGAGGAGAGAAAAACAAGATGGGTGGTAGTTTGATTTAGTTGATCATCTCTCTCATTCATGCATTGCGTCATATCAATTTTAAACACTTATCCCAACTTTTGATTGCCTCCCTTTATACATAGTGCAGATAAAACCAACCCACAATGGCAATTTGCAAACGCACCTACATTTTGGCCACAATGTTAGGCTTTTACACTTTGGACCACTTGAAACATGTCAATGAAACACATGAAAGGCTAAAACACACTTTTTAGGCTAATAGTAATGCAACCCACAAAAGAATAGGAAATTGCATTTGCGACCAAGTGTTGATTGGGTTTTGATCGCGTGTTGCGTGTGGGAGAGGAACAACTTGCACTTGTGAAACGTTTGATTTAAGAACTGGGTTTGGATGGGATCTTGTGGATTGCCAAAATGTGACAATGATTGAAACCTAAGAAATTGACATCTTGCAGATGGGATTGTTTTAGTTGATTGAGCCTTTTTCTTTCTAAATTCCCTTTTGATCTTTTTCCTTTTTAGTTCTTTTTGGTGAGCAGCAAAGGAAAGGATCCCAGCAGTAAAACTCTGCAGCACTCAAACCGCTACTTTTCTTAACACAAGATCATAACAGTACACTCTCTAGCTGTAACACACAGTTTCTTCCACCTGCACCTCAAAATGTTTCTCTTTGTTTTTCCATTTTCAATAAATTTTCATAGAAAGTAAAAAGTTCAAGGTCCTGTTTTGCTTTCCTTTTCTGGGGTTTTTTGAAAACCACCCAACAATGTCCATGTTCTCTAAAAATAGCTCATGGAATTTGATGATATCAGCAGAAAGAAAGAAAGAAACAGCCATTTTATTACCGATGGTAAATTTACCAAACTCCACATGCACAGCCTCACAAGGAAAAAAGAAAAGGAAAAAGAAAAAGAAAGCAGTAAAAGCAGATGCCAGTAAGTACAAAAATGAATTGAAGTCTGTCGTCTTCTTTCATCATCATCATCTTCTTCTTCTTTTCCTCTGCATTTTGATAGGTGGAAAACAGAGCAGGCAGTGAGTTTAATGAGGCAAACGCGCTGTCCACGTGAGCACTGAAAACAGAGGTCCTCGTGGGGTCCCTGGCACAAACCCAGCAGCTCAGTCAGAATCCGTTTCCACATTAAGGTACATTTTTTTGTACTTTTATTATCTTTTATTTTCTGGTGGATTGCCTCCAACAAAGATTTTTTTTTTCATTTTTTTTCTTCTGCAGCTAAAAGTACCGTCTTGCAGAGAGCCAGGCAGCCTACATGGAATTTTTATGCTTTTTCGGCGGTAACGTAGTACAGTAAAAGAATATGACCATGTGGCCTGTAAAACCTGTAACTGTCTGATAAAAAGGTAAACAAAAACAACCCAATTAAAAAATACAAGAAAAAGAGAGAATATTTACAGGCCTAATCAATGTCTTCTGAATGATATCTAAGTACTAGATTTTTTGAGACTTAAAAATAACCCAAAAAAGAATACAGGTCTGCTGAATGATTGCAGACTTCACATATTGTAAAAAATAATTTCTTTGTGCCTCTCTGTTTTTCTATATACTTACTTCTGTTCAGAAACTTTCACTGGCTGTCTGTCTGTCTGTCTCTCTCTCTCTCTCTCTCTCTCTCTCTCTCTCTCAAGAAGAGCAATAGAAAATCTGGGGAGACTAGAACAGAATTTAAGAATTAGAACTGTCTAAGTTAAGAAAATATCCAATTTCATGTTCTGATAAAAATTGGCTGGAAATTCTATAAATAAGGCAAAAAATTTAAAAAATAAAAAATCTCAAACCACTGATCCGGGACTAAAAGGATCAATTCAATTATATCCAGAGGAACAGCTGAGATTACAGATATGGTATTTCACCTTTACTTCCTAAACAAACAGACAGGGACAAATAGAGTGCTGAATCTCACTTTTTCGTCGGTAATCACAGGAAAAAAGAAACCCCTGTAAATACCAACAAAAACCAGTCACGAAAGCCATTCCCCCAAGTCACAAAAACCAGGTTTCATACATACAGCTTTTCAGGAGCAACAACTGTCATAGCTGAAGAAAACATGTCTAAGAAACATACATGTATCTGTCAATGCCATTGCCTATGACGTATGGATCAATAACAACAAAAGTCACTTACCACAGCTTTTCTGGACACATTCAAGTAAGCCTCATCATCTCTTTCAATGCACAAGCGGTTGCTACATCAGCAATGTATTTGAATTACTCTTACTCATTTTGTGTTTCCAAATTTATGATTTCAAAACACCCCTCCTTTCGTGTACATTCGTAGAATCGAGCCACCTCCTCACTCCAGAATCTGCTATTCAATTGCAAACACATAAGAGAAACCCTAGCACCCTCCTCATTTCCTTGTCTCATCAAGTTCATTAAGAAAGAAAATTAAAACTTTACCAAATAAAACGAAATACCATATACGACATCAGATTTGTATAGAAGATAGTTCACGAAAGCAATGTATCGTCATTTTTGGTAAAGAACAAGAAAAGAGAAAACCCTAAAAAATACACTGATGCAGTGGCAAGCAGCTGCATCAAGAAAATTAAGAGCCTATTTAATCACAATAGATGGGATGCATAGATGCCTGGCCTCTTTCTTTTTCACTGACTAGATAACTATGACTAGCCTCATAGCAAAAGATAAATGACTTTCACAAAGATTATAATACAGTTGTAGCCTAACCAAACGGTAATGCGAAGGGTTATGCAGGGGAAAATAACGGGTGCGACAAGAAAATGGGTATGTTTATTATGCTCATGAAATAACAATAAGATGGAATGCACAGCAGAATCATCAAGAAAACAAAAGGAAAATATGAAGAACAAAATAACAAAACCACAAGAAATTATTCTTATCCAAGAGTATCATGAATCTTTCAAAACTCAGCTTATACTCAAAAAATGAACATGCATAAAATAACCAAACATATATAGTTCCTGGTGGCTGTATCACAGAACCTCAAATGAGAGAACATGCTCTATGTAGGAAACGATCAGGATAATAAAGAGGAAAACCGGACGTACATGTCCCACCTGTGGTTGAAAAACTATCTAACTTGATCTGAGGCAGAACATATTGACAGTAAATTTCGCCATGTAGTTGCTCTCTGATAGGCCATTAATTTCAAGACCATGTTCTCTGAAAACCAGTCATATATGAGGCTTAAAACCCATTATTTCAACCCCAGGAGTGCCATGAGGCCTTGAAAATAATGCCAGGTTTTCGTTAGATCACACTGAATGACCAAAGGCATGGTCAGTGGAGTCCAGCCTGCACTTTAGCTCATGACCATTCCAACTCGATAAACCAGATCTTAAAGATGGATTACTAGATAATATAACAACTACATTTCCTTTTTGTTTTTGTACGCTTTATCATATGTATTTTCATCTGACCATATTGTTCTGTTTATGTCTCTACATAGTGTAAAATTTGATCAAAGGCAAAGGCTAAATATCTTTCTCAAGAAAAATATACATAAAAGTTAGTTTATGGATAAATATATATGGTAGTTCCAAAATGATAGAATATATTGTCATTACAGATCTTTTCTCTAACTATTGATCAGTGTTGATCCTATATATTATACCTTTTGCCAGCTAACAGGCCTCAAAGAGAGTGAAATTTTCCACAAATCATTCAACTTTAGTAATAAAACTGAGCAGCCAAAGTGCTATAAACATTTATACTTTACAATTGCAGTTCTAGAGGAGAAAGAAAGAAAGAAATCAAGTTCACAAGAAAAAAAGAAAAGAGAGGGGAAATTCAAGTTAAAGTTCTTCAACCAGATCAAAAGAAATACCAACCACCTAAATTATAGTTTAGGGTCCATTCAGATTGTGCAACACCAGTGTGTAAAAAAACATATAGAATCAAGAGAGGATAATAAATGTAGAGCAGAAACAGAAGTCAATTTTCTTTTCTTTTTTGAGAACTTGAGATATAATTTCTTGAGAAATAAAGGAAACGAAAAACTTGAACCATTACACAATTCTGCAATGCTTCAATAAAACTTATGAAAATAGTCATCACAACCTAAAACATGTACCAGTACTTCAGTTTATTCACCTTTGCCCGTTCTACATGATGCCAACCTTTCAGAAGCTCAAAAGTTACCAAAGGGGGAAAAAAGACGCAACGCAATAAAGTTCAAAAGAAGAAAAAAAAAGGAAAAACAACTCTTCAGGCCTCCTTCTGTGAATGTATCTATGACTCTAAATAAAAACCAGAATTTCCCCAAAAAAGGAGGGCAGAGATTACCCACGAGCCGGAACCCCATCTCCTTGAAAAGCGAAGATTGCAAATTCCACCCAGGATTCCACACAGCACACATGGTGTCACTGAAACTGGACATCTTAGCATCCCATCACCGCACAATTATACACAAAGCTGCCAGACGGTTTTCTGGCAAGTAAGTCCCATTGTGGTGAGCTTCCATCAGGGACCCAAGAATTAAGTTCAATTGTCCCTCCTCCTAATGCCCTAGGTCCACCAATCACAATTAACCGATCTCCACATGCCCTAAATGCTAATCCCCAACCATTCATCGAGACAGCCCGCTCAGGTAATCTCCCAACAGCCACCCACACGTTCTTCTCCTTATCGTATCTCCTCACCTCCTTTTCTGCATAATCTGCAGCATACAATATGTTATTTACAACTGCAAGCAGAGGAGGTGCCTCAGCTGCAGCAGGAGCCTCAGCTGCCCCAGCTCCTCCATTTCGTCCAGGGAACATGTTTGGTATCTCAGTCCAGGTCCTCTTCTCCAAATCGTACACCTCTCCGCCTGTTAGTTGCTTTGGATCGCCCACTCCTATCCCACCAATGACATAAAACTTCCCATCCATAAATACCCCAGAACACATTTTTCTAGGTTTATTCATGCTTGGAAGAGTCAGCCAAGTTCCTCTTTCTGAATTATACAGCTCAGCAGAGTTCAAGATATTGCCACGTGGATCGCAACCACCAGCTAGAATTGCAATTTCCCCACGGCTAGCAGAACCGAACAAGCATCTAGGTGTATTCATCTCAGTGCCGGATGACCACGTGTTGGTCAAAATGCTGTATCTATAAATAACATGGGACGTTATTTCCTTTCCAAAAACAAGAAGTTCAGTACCAACGGCCAACGACTCCTTGTCAGAACACATGAAACAATCATTTGACGTCATTCTAGGCAAATGCATCCAACGTCTGCGATCGGGATCAAATGCCTCCCATTCAAGGAGGTTGCAAGAGAAGTAAACCCAATGTTCTACAATATCCATTTTCCGCCTCAGTGTGTACAGCTCCCCACCCCGAATTAGAGAGCGGAAGTTTTTATTCAATGAGGCAATTGAGCCATAATCAGACCTCGAGCAGCGAAGGAGACAGCTTATTGAGTTATCCCGACCAAGTTGGCTGATTAGTGAACTTGAATCAGAATTTCCACCTTCATGATGCTGGTCATTTGACTGGTCCTTGGCAGGGGAGAGAGAAAGGCCATTAAGATCCATAACTGCTTCACCTCCTAGAACGGCATCTGATAGCTTGCATGCCTTCCTCAATGTGAGTTCTTCCCCGTCTGCAAGGGGGCGCTTATTGTTTGAGAGCTCCATAACACGGTGAGTATTGTAAATCCATTTGCTCTCCTGCTCGCATGAGCTCGGCAACTCCCTAGACACAAGATAGGAAGGACCCTCCAACATGTTGTTGGAATTCTCCAATTTGACCAGCTGGAAAGAAACCCTTCCTTTGTTACCCATGAAAACAAAATCAATGAGTAAACAAAACGAAATTCTACGCCTTAATTACTCCATATGCAAAAGCAATTATGAGCTAGGTATCTGCCAAACAGACAATCCTTGAATTAAATCAAGATATCACTAATACTGATTTCACATAGAAAATATCATACAACATAACAGAGAAAATTCCATTAGTTATATGTGTGTGTGGGGGGCGTTAACGCAAATCCCAGAAAAATCTCCTATATAGAAAAGCACATGCAGCAATGCATTTTAGATCAAGATCATATCTTTATGTATCAAGTATTCATTACTCATTGATAACAAGTAAAACGGCTAAAATTTGAGTGAGAAACATAAACTTGCATGCATATATCCAATCCATTGCCAAAGATGAAAATTGCCCAAATCAGATCTCTGGATTCAGACCAACATAGAAAAATCCAGAAAAAGAAAAAGGAAAAGATAATCAATTGAAAACTGATTATCCACATCCCAGACTGTAATCAAAATGTTAATGCAGCAACTAAATCCAAATACGAACAACTGTTCTCTAACAAAGAAAAACAACGAAAGAGATCCATTCCCAATTCCCCGTCAATAGCAAATAACCCATGAGCTCTTCTTCTCTCTTCCTTACCAGGAATTGAAGAAATGGTAGCTCCCCAAACAAAACGAAAAAGCTAAACCATGGCAAAAATGAACCAGAAAACTTCAGAGAAACATGAACACAAAGTAAAAGCTTACGAATTTGATAAGAAGAAGACGGTGAGTATGACCCCAGCTCCTCTTCCTCTTCCTCTCCTTCTCTCTCTTGCTCTAGATTCTCTCTCTCTCTCTCTTTTGCTTCTGGTTATATTCGCTGTGTGGAGAGAGTAATGTATTAAATAATGCGTGTATATAAAAAGAGTAAGGAAAATATTTCTTTTAATAAATTTTATTTTATTTTACAGAAAAGAAAGAGGGTGTTCCGGGACCCACGACGGGGTACAAGTCGCCGTTTGGGATTGCGGCCAAGACGTACCGAAACTGCTAACGGCCGTTTCTGCACGTGTTAGAAACTTAGGAGGCTTGATCCCATTAGTAAACAAAACGACAAGTCTCGGTTGCGTTGCAAGCGCATATGGTAAGGTTTTCTGGATTTTGGTGGTTTTGAATTTTGATGGTTTTTAAGCTTGTTTCTTGATTTCCTTCATTCCATCCTCGCTTTCATTGCATTTGCTTGTTTTGTTTTGGTTTGCGGATATCATCAAATTAATTGTTTTGGTTGGATTTTGTTTTCAATGAGTTGGATTCTTCCACATTTTCATTTCAGTTACATTTTTTTTTCTTTCAAAATTCATGCAACAAAAACAATATTTAAATTTCAATCACCCACGACACTCACAATACTGATAGAGATGATGACCATAGCATTTTAATATCCAGAATACTCCATCGGTGCGTTTCTGTTAATGTATTAGGGCTCATTTGATTCACGGATTGAACTTCCCATGTCTAATCCCATTAGATGGGATTGGAGGATGTTCATTCCCATGTTTGGAAACGTTGAGAAATGATGATAAGGAAATGTCATTTTATCTCATTCCCATGTTTGGTTTGTGCAGTATTATTAAGAATGAAAAATTGTTCAATCTTCCAACAATACCCTTAACTTATTTTTTTATTACAAAGAAAGAAATATGAAGAGTTTTTCTAAGGGTAAAACATGGTATTTTAAAACTAGAATATGGGTAAGTTAGTCATAATAATTTGCATTAAATGTTTTCCCAAGTGGGGGAAAAAAATTTCTCAAGCTCATCCAAGGGTATGTGCAAAGTGCATTCCCAAGAGTGCACTTACCAAACACGGGAATGCAATTTCAAACCCATTCTCAAGCAATATAAGATGATACTTATTTTGAATTACATTGCAATTAAATGAAAAATCATACTCTATCAACTATGATAGTATTGTCAAGATACATGCCATGAAGCGATAACAGAATTAGGTCGTCTTTTTCCTTTCTCGGATGGAAAAGCTAGTATATAATCCAAGAAATATAGACAGCTACGTATCTGATTAACTTGAAAACGTAATCGTTTCGTTTCTATATTGATTCAACGGTGTATCTTTGTCATTTAAAAAGAATATTTCTGTTTACTATATCAATGGCGGTAAAACTTTTGCTTTTTATAGGATTGTTTCCTGCCTATATGCGGAAATACCTTTGATCGAAAAAAGAAGAAGGAACAATTCTGGGAATAAAAAAGAAAGAAAGGGAAAGTATCGTTTTCCTGCCTATATTAGCGGAAATACCTCTGCCAAACTAAACATTACGAACATGTTAACATGCAAAAGAAAAAAGTGGTTGATGTATTTCCAAATTTTGGTGATGTCTTTTCTTTTCTCAAATGTATTACCTCATTTACATTATGTTGGAATCCCAATATTTCACCTAAAAAAAATTTAAAAAAATAGATTGTCGCATTTGAACATGGTAATATTTCGTTATTAAACTCTGATATCAGATTATATTTTAATTTTGATCATTCGTTACGTGCATTATCGACGTACGTCCCGATTAGTTAAGGTGAATTATTGTACTGCAAATGAGAGTAGTGTAGTAAAAGGAACAAAGGCACAAAAAGCATATGTACAAATGAGAGTATTGTATATATTTCTGCATAGGTGTCTTCAGTTTTATGCAAAAGGAGCAGAAGCAATCTCTATATATAACTCTCTAAGATCACAATGTGCCATGATTAACAACCCTGCGGGCCTGTGCATAATTATCTTCATGAGTACTTGGATAAAAGAAAAAGATGAGGCAAGAAGACGTGGAATTAGTCTAAGCCAATTAAGGGTTATGATTGGGTTTTCAGTTTAAACCCTGCATTATCAGTACATAGCATTATTTGTCATGAGAACGACATTGCTTTATTTTGGCCACCACAAAGAGATAATAGACCACACAAGAGATTAAGAAATATGATTAAGAATAAAAGCATCTCCTCTCTCTCTCTCTCTCTCTCTCTCTAACAAAAATAATTATGGAATCTCTAATTTAATCACAATTTGTGAATATGATTGTTGGCAGTTTTGTCTATAAAATATATCTCAAATCCAGCGTTTACTCTTTTGTTTTGTTTTGTTTTTTTGTTTTTGGCTTTTGTGAATTCTTTTTTTTTTTTGCCATGGAAACTGTTTAATTAGCCGGTAACTTTAGCACATGCAACGAGGATAAATTAGTTTATAATGAGGTCAAAGTCAAAGGGATATAAATCTTGCTAATGGAATACGAAAAATAAAATGTCAATTGATCTTGGTGGTATCAAAATCAACCCTGCAGGTTTCTGTTTAGGACTTGATCAAAGTGTTGCATGTAATTAAAGAATAAATTTTCAGTGTCATGTCATATTATATCAATGTTTATATTTAGTAATACTATGTGCCATAACATAGGTAAACTAGTAACATTACGTGCATAACGATGGTACAATCACATATATAAATTTCTCTCCTAATTAACATTGTATATGAATTGTCCATTTATGGATTGGATTCGGATTTCCGTATTGTCTTCACTACTATCCATAACTTTCAAAATTTTAAGAGCGCTCTCACTTTCTTAGCCTATATATTTAGCATTAATACTTGAAAAACACATCATAATCTTTGAGTTTCCAATGAAATTTGGATTAAAAGTCAAGATCAATAACCAAAACAAGAAGAGGATCTTGATTCTTGGTTGAACTATATAGTTAATTAACAGCAAATCTTTGTGTTAGGTGATTCTTGGTTGAACTATATAGTTAATTAACGGCAAATCTTTGTGTTAGATAAAGTTTATGAAATGGAGTGTTTAACTTTGCTAGACCCACCTGGATGTGTAGTTGAATATTCGATTCGACCGGAGTCTGAATCTATATATATATATATTCATGAATGATGATTGTTACCAAATTTGGCATCACTTGAAAAGAAAGCCCAGCAAATTTGGATGCTTGGAAGCATTGTGTGCTGGCTGCTGCTGCTGCCCTTGATGAAGGGCAGGGCTTCATTTCAGAGACAATATATATTCCAATGAGGTTTTAGTTTTTTAGACTGTTCAGGCCACATCAACAAAGAACCTTTTAAATTGTCAGAAGAAAAAAATGCATCAGATGCTATGTGCTCTCTCTCTCTCTCTCTCTCTCGATATTTGATATGCCACTACCGCTGGAAGAATAAAATTAAAATGGCTTCCAATCATTTGATCTTAAAAGGATAATTATTTATATGCTTGTGTGTTTCTAGTTAAGTATTTCAAGAAAAACCCTGAATGTGCCTGGCTTCTGAGCAGGGTATCTTATATAGCTAGCCTATTCAAGCATCCTATAGCTTGTCAAATCCCCACATCGTATACTTTCCTTGATACTTAAAACAAAAAGTCCAAATTGAAATTAATATCACAGCAATTGGAATAAGTTACATTTTCAATCAGTCAGGAATAAGTAACCCTCAGGCCAACATAAGAAAACCACTCGGAGATCCCCCACAAGAAGATCAAGAAGCACCACACAAGAGAAGGCCAAATTCTAGTCAACCTACACTAATGTGCTAACGTGGGAATTGGGAAATGGATCTTAATTATCTTCATTAGTGAGAATATTAAGCCACTGATCATAAAATTAGTCTACCAAACCAAAAAGATTCATCATATCTTTGACTAATTGTACATATATCACCCCCACATCATTTCTTGCTTTCTATGGTCTACAGCCCGCATGCTGGATATTGATTGCTCTGACTTGCAAGTGCTATAAAGTGTTGGTTTGTTTATGGAGCCATCAAACCATTTTTATTTTTATTTTTTTTGTGCTAAAGTATAGAGTAAAATGAGAGTGAGAATAGGGGTGATGAGATTGAGAGTAAGGATGGGAATGATGAGTAACAAAAGTGAAAACAATTTCAAATAGATTTAAGTTTTTAGTTTTAGTTTTCACTTTTGTTAGTCCTCCCTCCCATCCTCCCCTCTCATTCTTTCTCTCGATCCCATCTCCACTTTCATTCTCACTTCCGTTCTCCCACTTTTTTTCTCTAAACTCTAGCACAAAAAATAAAAAATAAAAACTAAAATTGAAATGGTTATCAAACGGGACCTTAACTTCTCCAATTCATAGAAAACCAAAACAATCTAATCTCATTGATTTGAAACATATATACCCTGATATATTAATGTAAAGCAAATAAATTTTGCATCTCAATTGATCTGATTGTTCAGCATAAAGTGAGGCTCAACAATTTTAGTTTGAATTAATTTGAAAAACAAAAAGATGATCGACATTTTGGCATCTATGCCATTCAATCAATCAGAATGTACATGTACATGTCATTTCAATTAAGAATGATTCCCAAGTTCTTGAGAAATTATTTCACTTATATGGATCTTCATGATTTTTTTTCCCCCTATTTCCTCCATATAATTGTTTGACAGTATATGACTACTCATTAACAGACCATATATTTTAGTTCTTATCAAGTCATTTTCAGCTACCAAACTAAGTTATAAGAAACTATATAAAGTTAAAAATTCTTTATATTTGAATTTCAAGTAGTACTAGTAGTAGTATATATATACATACATATATGCTAGTCTGTATGTATATACATGATACACGCATGCCTGTGCAATTAGCATGCCAGGATCAGTGCTGGGCCAAATTAGCTCAGATATGTGATTAAGATAATGCGATAGTGGACTGCTATTTGTGACAGCACTCAAAATATGCAAGTGGAAAAGAAACTGGACGCCTATGGAATATAGTATACAGACTCTGTACTATATATATCTGCCTAGATTTTGAGATTATATGTAGATGTGAATTGTAACTTATTAAAACATGAGAGTTTTGCCGACGGGGTTTAATCTAAT